GCCTTGGCCGTACAGAAGAAATCATATTAGCTAATAAAGGACTTGTATACAAAATAAAAACTAGTAAAAACGTATCCCCCCCCCCCCCCCAAAAAAAAACCCTAGGGAACACGTACGAGTTGCTTCTCTCGGTGCTGACTACTCTATGATCCAAGGCGAGGAAAAGTTCCAGTTTGCATGAAAAACAAGACAAACCTCAGGAAAATGTAGCGAACTCGTGCACAAAAGCTGCTGGGATCATTGGTGACCCATCTAACTTTCTCTCCGGGGGGTTATATTTGCTTCACAATGGATTCTCGAGATCAGCTTTCCCACAGCAAGTGGAACCGCATCATAATTGCTGCCCCTACAGGAGATTTATACAAGGCCGTGGCCTTGGCTGTGGACAACTGAAAGCTATAGATAGTAATTAACCAGCAAGTGACGGTTCACTTTATATATGAAGATATATCTTCAGTAAAACAGATGAGCATAACATTCCAAAACACTATCGAGTTTTAGATAAAAATGTAAAGAAGCTTAAGCAGGTGAATAAAATTAGGAGCATTCTCACCAATCCTTAATTGTTTGGGATTTCTGCTTAAACTCAGATGCTCTGCTCCTACTGGGATTGCTAAATTATAGCAGGGTTCATTTACAGCCCTTCCTGGTATGCCCACTTCTCTAATGCTAGTGCTTCAGTGCCAGCCAACCTGGCTCCTAAAATTCTTGCCAGTAATACTTGTTACCAACATTTAATTCCTCCAGCAAGACTACTGATTCCCTGTTTACAGATTATCTGCAGAAAATATCAAGAACTCAGCTATTTGTCTATTGCCAAGCTCAAAAATAGAAAGAAAAAAATAGCTGTTCTACAATACACTCATGGTTATAATTTTCCTTTCAGGAAAGGGTAATTTTCCTCTTTGAAAGTCTCCTTTGTCCCTCCCCCACTGCCAGGTGTTTGCTTTGAACACGGATACAACATTTAAGTTTACTTATTAAACAACTAGTGGCAGCCGAGGATTTTTTCAGCTTGTCTTTAAAAGTCCTTTCCTTTTCCCCGCTGTGTAATAGAACATAACATTTAAAAACATTAAAAACCAAGTAGTTGTCTAATGACTTGTCAAAAACTTTTAATAACTGTGTACTAATTTAAAAGTTGAATTTTAAAGACCTTTTTTATTTGGAGGGTCAGCTACATTCTGTGTTCCAGAGGACCTGTATATTTTTATAGTGATCCCTATCCTTTTAAAAAACACCACCAGTAAATGAAAACATTTTTTCAGGTCAAAAAGCAAATGACACTTTCCTAATTGAAAACATACTACAACTTCACACTTACCTTATTTGATAATTTCATGGCTGGCTTGAAGAATACCTTCTAAAGCAGAAACTTTGATAGCCCAAATTAATATCCCACAGCACAAAGGCCCCTGTTCACAATAAGCTGAGAATTGAGAACTATTGAACTATTCAAGATAAGTGGTTGAAGGAGAAAAATACCTTCTTGCAAGTGTAAGTAGTTTCTCTGAGTTTTTCTAGAGAACTTGGCATCTGGTGTTAATTTTAAGAAAGGGAAAACCTCTGTGACACCCTAAAGCTATAAAGGAAAGGTCAATACAAAAATTAAAACTAGTTCATGGCTCCCCAGGGGCCTCTAGTGGCTAACGTTGCCAAAACATTAGTATTTATTCTTCTCAATAATATCTGGTTAATTTTTCTATTGTTTAAGGAGCACTGTAAGATCCTTTGCATATAACAGAAAATATTCAAAATAAATTGTTGAATGAAAGAATCAGCACAGGTTTATCCCCTTTGTGAATACTGTTTATGGGGTCTTGGTGATTCCTGCCTCTTCCTCATTACTTTGAAGCCAATAAAAAGAAATGCCTACCCATAATAACTACCCTGGAAGTGAAGGCCGACACTTGGCAAATTGAGAAATAGGTTGTCCTTGGTACCTTCCAACCTTAAGCCTATTTAAAGCTAGCTATGTAGCTGTGGTGCATAGGCATGTTGCCCAGGCGTGTCGGAAAATAAGACTAAAATAATTTAGTTAGACGTTCATCACTTAAGTAGCTTAAAATACTATACTGGGTATGTAACAAAACAATGACTGAAGCAAAAGAAAGGAGTCTCTGCTGGTAGAATTTCAGATCTCAAGGACAGACCGAGGGAGGAATTCCCAAGCCTTTTATCTTACCTTCTCAGCCTACCCAAAAGACTGGCCCAGATACAACAAATTCTCAGTGTAAGAATAGATCTGTCTATGTGAAACTTATAAGGCCAGGGATAAAGTTTTAAATAGGACCTTTCCTTCCTTTCCTTGTTGTTTATTTCAGTAATAAACTATTCCTAAAATAGCTCTGATAAGCTATTTCATCAGACAAATCAGGCAAACCCTGATTTAATATGTATAACCTATTTCCTAAAATTTAAAGCTGGCGGAATGGTATGCATGCCTAGGAAGAAAGATATAGTCACATTTACAACTTCAAAGTCCTTGTATCATCTTTGAATAGAGACAACTTTTGTCTTAAATAGGTAAATCATCTAACACCTTCACAGCTAAATCACCATGAGTAGCTGCTCTCTTTATATTTTGAAGTTTTCCATGACATATACAGCTGACATTGCCTTTAGTAAATGAGGAGTTTAAACTTTGCTGTTTGGGTTGGTAGTTTTAACCTAACACTGATTATGCCAGTACTATTTATTTCTCTTCCCTCAAAGAAGCTCAGATGACAGGAGACACTGTTCTCAGTTCAGCAACCTACTGTTAAGTAGAGAATTCCTTTCCTTCTAGCGCTGACTTTTCAGAAAACATGGCCCTGTGTTTAGAGTTTTGGCAATATACTAAACATATTGGGAAAAGCACTGGAGTATGTTATACCATATTTCATTTCACAGATCTGGTTGTCTATCTTCTTCAGCTTCTCACAAATCTTTATTACAGGCATATGCACGCTCATGGGACGAGTGACTTCACTTAGGATCTTTGTGGCTGCGTCTTTTGTGGCTCCTAGATAATAGCACTGAAGGAAAATGAACAGAATTCAGTGTCTCAGACTGTGGAAAAAAACAAGTATCGAGACATGACAATGAGGTTAACCTAGTTTTCATGGTCTAGCTATTAAATTTTAACCCCTGCTGACTAAGACATCAGCAAACAAGTGACTCCGTTCTCGTGATCATCCTAATTAGAAGTGCCCTGCAATTCACATGATGTTAAAAGACTAATGAGAAGAACTAGCACTTACCGTTTTCTCTGTGCCAGGTGCTGCTCTCAATGCTTTAAAGGTATTAACTTATTTGGTTCTCACAACAATCCTGTGAAGTGAGTACTATTATTATTCCCCCTTTCCCACCCAAGCCACCTGAAGGTCACCCAGCTCGCAGGTAGAAGAGACGGAATTATAAAATCCAGCATTCAGGCTCTAGAGGCTATGCCCTTTTCCATCATGCAGTACTTACTGTACTGCCTTTCAAGCTACCTGATATAAAAATTTTAAATTTAAAAATGTAAAACTGAATGGCACAAATAAATGGCAAGAATTTTACAACCTGTCTGTGGTGAACAGTCTACAATGCAGATTTAACTGACAAATTCAACAGAACAATTTTAGGCAAAAAGGAATTGGCCTGAAATTGTTCTTTAGTGATGTAAAACAGTGTATTGAAACAAGCCATATATGCATACCCGGGAAACACCATATAAATGCCATTATAAGAAAATACAAATACTTTGTTAGTTATGTTTAAATAAAATGTTTTGTTAGGTTTGACTAATTGCCTTGATAATAAATGAAAAGTCTATCCACTCTTAACTCAGGACAGTAAATTCTTATTAAGAATTCAGTTTTATAATCTTATTTAAGAAAACATCGAATTGGTTGACTGTGGTTTACTCAGAAAGCAAAATGAATCTGGATGTATTCTGGATGAAAATACATAGGACTACATTTTACTGGAACATTGATTTCTGCTTGCTGTTTGCAGTAAGCAGGAGAACGTCAAGTCCAAGATGAGAAATAAAACTCCGGCAGTTTTCTTCAAGCACACAGGGAAAATGAAAGGTAAAAATTTACCGTACCAGGCGGTTTTCTTTTCCTTTGACATCCAAGCAAAAGCTGATCAATTCTTTTTCTATGGTGTCCAGTGAAAAGTTAACTCCTCTGGCTACCAAGGAATTGTAGAATCGGCTCAAGAATTCTTTACACACTAGGAGGAATGAAGAAATATGTGTGTGTACACAACTTAACCACTTCCACACCTATGTACATGACCCACTCACCAAATAAAAAAGCAGGTATGGTTCAATACATTGTGACAATGGAATCAAATTCTAAGTAACAAAGATTTTGGGACAATTCCTCTTAGTTTTGTATGGGCCTTGAATGTAGCAGACACTTAATACGAGCTATTGAATCAATCTTTGTTCAACCTAAAATGAAAACTTTTTCACAAACTTTGGCTAACCCTAGAAGACAATATAGCTTTCTCAATGAGATATCATCTCCCTCCAGTTAGAATGGCTATTATCAAAAAGACAAAAAAAAAAAAAATTAAAAATAAATAAATAAATAAGTGCTGGCAAGGTTGTGGAGTAAAGGGAACTCATATATTGTTGGTGGTAATGTAAATTAGTGCAACCATTATGAAAAACCATATGGAGGTTCCTCAATAAACTAAAAATAGAACTACCATATAATCCAACAATCCCAGTTCTGGGCATGTATACAAAGGAAAGAAAATTAGCATTACTAGAGAGATATCTTCACCCCCATGTTTATTCCAGCATTATTCAACATAGCCAAGATATGAAATCAACTTATGTGTCCATCAATAGATGAATGGATAAAGAAAATGTGGTAATATACAGGGGAATACTACTCAGCCATAAAAAAGAATGAAATTCTGCCATTTGCTGGGCCGGCCTGGTGGCGCACTGCTACAGTGCGCCGCTTGGGAGCGTGGCGGCGCTCCCGCTGAAGGTTCGGATCCCACATACAGACCCGCCGCTCACTGGCTGAGCGAGATGCGGGGCACAACACCGAGGGTTGCGATCCCGTTGCCAGTCCTGGTCCGGTACGGGCGCGACACTGAGGGTTGCGATCTGTTGCCGGTCACGAAAAAAGACAAAAAGGAAAAAAATAAAAATAAAAAAATTCTGCCATTTGCAGCAACAGAGCCCAGAATACATTATATTAAGTGAAAAAAGTCAGGCACAAAAAGATAAATACCACATATTCTCACTCATATGTGAGGGCTAAAGAAAGAAAAATTGAGTTTATAGAAGTAGAGAGTAGAACTGTGGTTACTAAAGGAAAATGGAGAGGAAGGGAAGGAAGGAAGAGTGTGTTTGACAGATACAAAACACAGCTAGATAGGAAAATATATATATATATAGCTTTCTATAGGATATAATCTTGGGATGGCTTGGTTTTATGCACAGAGAAAATCCTAAATAAGCATCTTTTCTTTTTGTTTTTATTTGCAGCTGGCCAGTGTGGGGTTCTAAACCCATGACCTTGGTGTTATAAGGCTGCACTCTAACTGAATAAGTATCTTGAATGAAGCCCCTGGTAGTCTGCATAGGTTTTTATGTTGCGTTGTCATGAGCCTGAGATGAAACCCCAATTTGAACAATCATATTCAATCCTGGAGTCCAGAGGTGGTGGAAGAGATGGAGCTCAGAAGAGGCACAAGCAGCAAGAACCACCATAGGTAACATTTGTCAGGTGCTAGCAGGTGCCGGCCCTGTTCTGAGTACTTTCTGTATTTAACTCATTCAACTCCTACAACAAAGCTGTGATGTAGATACCTTACTATCCTCATTTAATAGATAAAGAAACTGAGCCAAAGAGAGGTCAGCTAACTTGCCCAGCCAGTGATAGAGAGGGCATTAGATCCCAGCTGGTCTGACTCTAGGCCCACACATGTATCCATCAGGTTATCCTGCTGTGGGAGAAGGCTACCTTGCTTGGCTGTCTTGGCCAAGTAAGCCAAGAAGGAAACTAAGGCCAGAAGCTTATGCTGGAAAACAGTGGCCTTAATATTAGAGAGAGAATTCTGGGGAAACAGTAAGGAAGAGTGGAGAGTGCATAGGCCCTTGGTTCTCTCTATCCTTCCTCTTGATTCATGGTGCTAAAACCAGGTAACGTGCTCTGTCCCCCATGCCCCAGAGACCAGGTGTCTTATCTTGAATGAGGCAAGAGCTAATACACAAACTAGATGCCTCAAGTAGTTTTAACTGTGTTCATTCAATCAAATTTATTAATGCACTTAATAAACACACTGAGCACTTCCTATGTGTAAAGCACAATGGGAGAACTACTTCAGGAAGAAGGAGAGAGAATCCAGAAAAAAGAATCAGGTTGTAAGAAGTAATGATGACAAAAGAAAATAGCAAACGTGAGAAGAGATAAATAAAGATTAACCATATAAACAAAAATAATAAATATATAGAAGTATAAACATAAGGTAAAACCCAAATACAGAATAATCATAGCACATAAAATGAGAAATAGAGGAGAATTCAAGTTAAACTTCTTGTGGTCTTTTATTATCTAGAAGAAAGGTAGAGAACTACTATTAGGTCATATTGATGTTTAGCCAACTAAGCATGCTAAAAATGTAAGGATAATAACTTAAAAAGATAAATAGATTACTTGTAAATCAGTATTGGTGTAGGGGACTGCGAAGGAATTTTTAAAAATTTGTCAGTCCAGTAGAAGACAGGAAAGAGAAAAAATAAAGAGAAAGCAAAATACTTTTAAAGAAAAAAAAAACTTACAAAAATTTTTTTTTAATTTTATTAATATTATTTTTTTACATTCTATGATGTTGCAGAGCAGTTGGGAGGGAGAGGAAGAAGGGAAAGGGGAAGGAAATGGGATGGAAGAAGGAGGAAGTAGGAGGGGCAGGATTGAGGCCTGTGGCACCCCCCACATTCCCACAGGGGACACAGAGGGCTTCCAGCAGTGGCTTGGTCATTGCCAGGCTAGGTGCAGATGTCAGGCGGGTGGGCCAAAAGCCCTCACCTCCCACCTCCCCAGCTCGGGAACCCAGGGCCCTTCTTGCTACAGCTTGGTGGTCATTGCTGGGCTGGTTGCTTGTGTTGGGGGTGTGTGACTGAGGTTCTTGGCCTCCCACTGCCTCTGCTTGGGAGAGCCTGGGGCACTTCCTGCAGTGGCTCAGGGATTGCCACTGGGCTGGTTGCTTGTGTTGGGGGTGTGTGACTGAGGCCCTGGCCCCCCAACCACCTTGCTCAGGAGAGCCTGGGGCACTTCCTGTGGCAGCTCAGTGGTTGTCAACTGGGCTGGCTGTGGGTGTTGGGGGTGTGTGGCCAAGGCCCTCGGCCCCCCACTGCCCTGGCTTGGGAGAGCCTGGGATGCTTCCTGCAGTGGCTAAGTGGTCATTGCTGGGCTGGTTGCTCATGTTGAAGGGGTGTGACTGAGGCCCTTGGTACCCCATGACCCCAGCTTGAGAGAGTTTGGTGGTCGTCACTAGGATGGTTGAGCTTATTGGGGGGTGTGGCTGAGGCCTGAGGCCCCCATCCTGAGGACTGGTTGCAGGTGTCAAGGGGCATGGCTAAGGCCTCTGGCCCTCTTCATTTTCTGACTTGGTAGCTATGGTTGAGCTTATTGGGGGGTGTGGCTGAGGCCTGAGGCCCCCATCCTGAGGACTGGTTGCGGGTGTCAAGGGGCATGGCTAAGGCCTCTGGCCCTCTTCATTTTCTGACTTGGTAGCTCAGGGGACTTCCAGTCCTTTTAGGTGTTACAGGTGTTCTTTGGTGAAATGAGACCTTTACTAGTTAATAGCAAACTTTGTCTCTGGTTGTGGGTACTTTGTCTTTTCTTTCAGTTCTGTGTTGGATTATTTGCAGTTCCCAACTCTTAAACTCTGTGCTGGAACTAACTTGTTGTCCTTTGCTTACTTCTAAAAAGCGGGAACTTCCTGTGGAAACCAGTACTTGAGCTCTGTGGCTGAGGTAAAATGCTGCTTTGCTGCTGGTTCCATAGGGAAGGCTTTTTGTGCAGCTCAGATTTTAATGGTTGACTTTATAGATACTTCTGGATCTAGTGAAATCTGGTCCACCTGGATTGTGTAGAAACACTGGTCTGGGCCTGAATCTTTTCATCAAACTATATACCCCATGCAATTCTATATTCCTGACCATCTCCTCTGAGTGGTCCTGCACTGATTGAGGGGCAGATCAGTTGTCCTTTCTGTGCCCCAGTGTTCCCCTGGTGGGCCTGTCTCTTCCACTGCTCATGCTCCAAACACTTCCCATGGGACGGGCCATGCTCCCATTCCTTGCAATCACTTACTGGCCTCTGAATGGCTCCTTTTCTTCAGTTGTTGTGGCTCTTTGGTCCTATGTGGTTCCACAGGAACCCTATTAATGGTATCGCTGGCCTGGGGGCCACCACCAAGGCCCTCTTCTCCCCTGCCACTTCCAAGCAACTTCATCCAAAAGGCACAGCTGTGGCTTTTTGCCAGCTCCTGCTCTGTGCACTTGGCAGCTCCAGCCTGGAAGTGGCTGAGATTCGAAATGGTCAGAGCAATTTTTTTTTTTTTTTCTCTCATCTTGGTTTCTCCCACCTTCTTGTACTCCATAGGTCTCTCCTCCTTTTCCCCTGAGCTCTAGCAGCCCCAGCTTGGCTGTCATTGCTTTTTCATAGTTGTAAATTGGTTGATTTGTGGGAGAGAGTGACGCTGGGGACCATCTATTCTGCCATCTTGACTGGAAGTTCAGGAGAGAAAATTGTTAAAGAAGCAATATGACAAATATTTCCATTACTGGAGGATGTGATGTCTCAATTGACAGACTCCAATAACTGAAAAAAATCTATACCAAGGCACAAAAATCAAGAAACTTTAGTACATTGCTGAAAAAGAAAGGATTCTACAATTCTGCAGGAAAAAAAAAACAGTTTTAATAACAATACTTGTAACATAGAGTGTCATTAGATTTCTTAACTCTGGAAGCTAGAAAAAAATGGTCACCAAAGTTTTTAATTCTTTCACTTTTAAAATTCTACTTTTATGTTTCTTCTTTTACTTGAAAATGTCTTTTTTTTTTCACTTTTAATCTTTTACTGGCAGTTGTTTTCTTTGAACACATCAAAGATACCATTTCACTCACTTCAGTCTTCCATTATTTTTATTGAGAAATAAGTTATCAACCTAAGTCATTTATTTATTTATTTTTCTCT